CTCGACAGCCAACGTAAAAACCCGTCGAATCTCATGAACATGGATCAACGAAGTAATTATGCTAATGCTAGGTCGTTGCCCAGAAGTGACGCGCTGTATGGCTCGAGCACAGTGAGAAATGAGCTAGAGCCGCTGCATCGTCGCCCGGATGTAGTGTTAAATGAGCAAGGGCTACCGCACTCTCTTGGACGGAGGCGGCTAAAGAAGTTAGTTCATGAGACTGAGATTAGATTTGGCACTTGGAATATTGGGACGTTGAATGAGAAATCTATGGAAGTAGCAGGAGTTATGAGGGACAGAAGGATTAATATCTTATGCCTCCAAGAAACCAAATGGACTGGAGAAGCTGCCAAAGAACTTGGAGAGTATAAACTTTGGTACACAGGAAAGGTGAGCGCAAGGAATGGGGTTGGTATCATCGTTGATGGGACATGGAAAAAGAATGTGGTAGAGGTTAAAAGGTTTGAGGACAGAATAATATCGTTAAGAGTAATTGTTGGGAAGGATATTATCAATATCATTAGTGCCTATGCACCTCAGGTTGGGGCAGAGACACATCTTAAAGATAAGTTTTGGGAAGATATGGAGGGTTTGGTTCAAAGCATACCACTTGAAGAAAAAATTTTTATCGGTGGGGACCTTAATGGACATGTTGGTAAGGAAGCAGGACAATTCAGCGGGGCCCATGGTGGTTTTGGTTTCGGGGAGCTTAATAGTGGAGGACAATCTATTCTCGATTTTTCTCTTGCATATGATCTTAAGATTGTCAACACTTGTTTTAAGAAGCGAGAGGAGCATTTAATCACTTATAAAAGTGGTGTCTCGAAATCACAGATTGATTTCTTTTTGGTTAAGAATCTGGACAGAAGATTGTGTACTAATTGCAAAGTGATTCTAGGAGACGGGGTGACTACCCAACATAGAGTACTTATCCTTGATGTGCGTTTTAAGAGTACCAGGGAAAAGTACCATCAAGTGGCAAAACCCAGAATTAAGTGGTGGCAGTTAAAAGGAGAAAAGCGGGAGTTATTCAAAAGGACTCTTTTGAAGGAAGGGATTTGGGAGTTGCAGGGAAACGCAAACATGATGTGGGAAGAGATAGCTACGAGGGTTCGTTTGGTAGCTAAAGCAATTTTGGGAGAATCCAAAGGTCCTGGTCAAAGAGATAAGGAGACTTGGTGGTGGAATAAGAGTGTGCAGGAGAAAGTCAAACAGAAAAGAGATTGTTTTAAAGCCATACACTTGTGCAATAGTGTAGAGAACCGTGAAAAGTATCAATTGGCTAAAAAAGAGACAAAGAGAGCAGTGAGCGAAGCACGTACTAAAGCTTATGAAGGGTTTTATCAGGAGTTAGGAACAAAGACGGGAGAAAGAAATATTTACAAGATCGCGAAGCAAAAGGAGAGGAAAAAGAGAGATCTGGACCAAGTAAAGTGTATAAAGGATGAAGATGGTAAAGTGTTGGTTACTGATGGTGATATTAAGGACAGATGGGAGGCTTACTTTTACAAGTTGTTTAATGAGGGAAGCAATTATGCAACTCAGGACTTGCAGGACTTGTTAATTAACGAAGATGATCGGAATTTGGCTTTCTACCGCAGGATACGTATCGGAGAGGTTAAGGCGGCTCTCAAGAAAATGGACAAGGGAAAAGCCGTTGGACCTGATGGTATCCCTATTGAAGTTTGGAAATGTTTGGGCGAGGAGGGGGAGGTGTGGCTAACCAAGCTTTTTAATGAAATTCTACGCTCTAAAAATATGCCGGATGATTGGAGGAGAAGCATTTTAGTTCCTATTTACAAGAATAAAGGAGACATTCAAAACTGTGCAAGCTACAGAGGGATAAAACTTATGAGTCATACAATGAAGTTGTGGGAAAAAGTGATGGAATATAGGTTGAGGTTGGAGACTTCTATTTCGGAAAACCAATTTGGATTTATGCCAGGGAGATCCACTTCGGAAGCAATCTATTTACTAAGGGGGTTAATGGAAAGATATAGAAGTAAAAGAAGAGATTTACATATGGTTTTTATTGATTTGGAAAAGGCTTATGATCGTGTGCCAAGAGAAGTATTGTGGAAGGCTTTGGAAAAGAAAGGTGTACGGGTTGCTTATATCAAAGCCATACAAGATATGTATGAGGCGGTAACTACCAGTGTAAGGACGCCTGGAGGGGAGACAAAGGACTTCCCTATTAAGATTGGCCTACATCAGGGATCCTCTCTGAGTCCGTACTTGTTCAACATTATTCTGGATGTTCTAACTGAACCTATTCAAGAAAGAATCCCTAAGTCCATGCTCTTCGCAGATGATATTGTCCTTATGGCGGAATCAAAAGAAGAGATTAACACTAGTTTGGAGTTATGGAGAAGGACTTTGGAGTCGAAAGGTTTCCGTTTGAGCAGGAACAAAACAGAATATATGCATTGTGATTTTGGAGGGAGGCAAGGTAATGGGGATTTGGAGGTGAGGATGGGAGAACAAATTATTCCTCAAGTATCTAAGTTTAAATACTTAGGATCCACTATACAAGAGGATGGAGAAATTGATGGAGACATTTCTCATAGAATACAAGCTGGTTGGTTAAAGTGGAGGAAAGCTACCGGAGTTATTTGTGATAAGAAGGTACCTGAGAAACTTAAAGGAAAATTTTATCGGACTGCTATAAGAGCAGCTATGATGTATGGTAGTGAATGTTGGGCAATAAAGGGAAAACAAGAGCACAAAGTCGGAGTAGCAGAAATGAGGATGTTGAGATGGATGTGTGGTCATACAAGAAAAGATAGGATTCGAAATGAAAAGATCAGGACAAGAGTTGGTGTGGCACCTATCCAAGAGAAAATGGTTGAAAATCGCTTAAGATGGTTTGGACATGTGCAGAGAAGGCCTTTGGAGGCCCCGGTGAGGAGGGTGGATCAAACAAGATGGAGTCCCATAAAAAGAGGCAGGGGAAGACTGAGAAGAACGTTGAATGAGGTCATTGAAAGAGACCTCCTAGTCAATAACATATCTAAGGATTGGGTTGTTGACAGAGCACGATGGCGTCGTGTGATTCATGTAGCCGACCCCACCTAGTGGGATAAGGCTTGTTGTTGTTGGAGCAAGTTGTAGTTTGTGTTGAATAATTCTGCATTTTTGGAATTCTTAATTTTACTATTAAGTTGTCAAGGGTTTGGTCAGTTCGGTCTGCTGAATTTGTCCAATTCTTGCTTTAAAAAACTTGTCAACTTGCTAAATGCGTTAATCTTTGAATATTCTGTGACCTTACTTCTGCACACATTGTGAATTGGCTGGTTTGAGCAAACTTTTGACCCTATTGGCTAGAAGTTGGAGCTAAATATACTGGGCATCCATTTTGTCTCTTTGACAGTATCCATTTTCATTTTTTTTGTGAAAATTTTGGGAAATGAAAATAAATACTTTTCTTATTTCTTCTTAGTTTTAGAAAATTTATAAAAAGGGGGTATGATGCAGAATTTTCTTGTTACTTCTTCCTTTCTTACCTCTGGAATTTAAGTGGAAATTGTGTTTGTGGCAATTGCTTTGGTTGACTTAAGACCCTTGGCGCCCTATGTCTATCAATAGTGAGCAGTTGGTTCATTGGTTGCTGTTGCCGCTAATATTGTGAATTTTTCCCCTGAACCTGAAGTGATTAACTCACAATCATTTTAATTGGTCCAATTCCTTGCTGAATCCAATACTTGACTGAAATTGCAGTGCTTTTCTGGTTTGATACTGAATATTTTCATTGCTCTGTCACTCTTGCAATCAAGTTACATTTTGAATTGCACAGTTCCATTCAAATCGCATGGAATCACTCATCAAGCTGTCAAATTTGGTTAAAGGGAAATTCTGAATATTTTGCTCAGCTTTTAGCCAACATTTTCTGTAGTAGCTTGCTTGTTGGTGTTCAACTGAAATTTTCACACCACTTACACTGATAACAATCATCGGACCTGTACACATTGATTTTGCAGAGAAACCCATTTTATTCTCTGGAATCTGCATGATTCGGTTTGATGACAAGTCCTAAAACTCATTGAATTCACTTAGTTGTTCATCAGATTTAATCTGCACTTGAGTTGGTCCCTTTGTTGATAATGAACTGTCACTCACTGAAAATCATTTTTGGATGGTACATGCAACTTGAAACTTGTTTTGATTAAGTCATAACTTGCTGCATAAGTGATTTCTAACCTGCTCCAAATCTGATTCAGTGGCATTTTCCTAGATATCAACCAATCTCTGATCTTTAGCTAAGCAATTTGTTTCTAAATCTTTGGTGCATTAGCTGAAGTTCCCCACATTTCTGACCTGTTTGCTGAATTTCCACATTTCTAACAGCAATTAAGTTGTCAGGGGTTGGTTAAGTTCGAATTGCTGTGGACTTAACCAATCTCTTGCTGTAGCAACTTGCTTTTTGATATTGCATTGCTGAAAACACTCACTTACTACATTGTTGAGTGTCTTTGCATAGTCCTACTCTCTGATTTTGAGCTTCATATTGAAATATATCTCATGGATTGGTGCTGGAACAACAGTGGGTCTGATTCTTATTCTTATAGCAGAACTCACACCTGTCCTGAATATGGTGTGAACTCAATTAATTCCATACTTTGTGTGCATTGCTATTTTAGAATGCATGTCTGCAATGATTGTCCACTTAGGATCTATTGTGCAGAAGTGGCTAGAAACATTCAAAGTGTTTCTCCACAAAAAGCCTAAACAGAAACAAATTCCCACACTAATGCCCAATTTGAACCTAATCCTTATGAATCTTCATCCCAACTGTATGCACTAAGTCAAGGACGTTCTAATGATGAGTTCAAAAGAGCAATGCAAGGGGTGAACAAGCAATTACATAACCTTGCTGGTCAGACTGACAATACTGTTTTTGCTTTCACTAATTGGAATAAAAATCTGATAATAGAATTAAATCCTTGACAAGTGAGATGGAGACCTTGGAGGGACAAAATAGGAGCATAGAAAAAGAAGTAACCATGGATGTTATATTGAGAAAACTTCAAGAACTGAACCATAGGTTGGATAGTTTGACAAATGAGAAAGGCTCTTCATTTCCTTTTTCCGCACTCACACCTATTGCTTCTGCACAAGTTTCCACTAATTTGTGTGATAATTCTAATATTGATGTGCTGGTGGGAAATACTTCTTCTACTTCTGCAAATAATGAAGATGCTACTAATTTTAATGAGCTTGAGAAAGGTTCTTGTAGAGTTTTGACAGATTCTAGAGCTGTCATGAAGAATGGAACTATGGTTAGCTCTACAAGGAAGAGAGAGGAACCTAAAGAAGAAATTTCTAAGCAGCTTAAAGGGATCAAGCTATTTGGTTTCAAAACAAGGAGAAGAAGGCATCGATTAAAAAGGTTGAAGCAAAGGCCATTACACATCATGCCAACAATCCAAGAAAGTGAGGAGGAAGAGCAAACACTATCAATGGGGCCTGTTGGTAATTCTCTTGAACCTACTGGTTTCCATACTTGTGAATCCATGATTAATGACATTCCTCTTGAGCATGAATCTTCCCTAGCTGCAAATGACATGAGTGGTGATAAGTCGAATCATGAGCCCTTTTCTTGTGCTAATGACATTAATAGAGATGCTTTAGGACATGATGCGACTGAAACTAATTCTCTTAAGCATGATATGATAAAATCTAATTTGCTTAAATCTGATCCAATTTCCTTTTCTTCTTTTTTCTTCTCCCCTTGTTCACGTGAGAGTGATTGTGTTGCATTGATTGCTTGTCAATTGGTGGCCTCCTTTCTACCTCACATGCATTTTATTTTTACTTTTCTAATTCTTGTAGTGATCTTGTTTCTTCTTTTTCTAATCATGATGGTCTTGGGAAAGGCTTGTTTGATGATTTTGCAAAACTATATGAAGAGATTAACACCAGAATGCAAGCTGGAATTGAGAAAACTCGTGGAGGCAACAAGCTTAACCTTGAACACCATGAATTGGAGAGTAGAACATGTGCAGCAATGCTTATGGCGTCTTCAATTGTGCAATATGAGGATTTTCAAGCTTTCTGCTCTATCAAAGAAGAAAAGCCCAGGTCTGAAACTCATGAACCTAAGGGCCATTTTATTGACTCTATTAGCATTAATCCTTCTTTTACATATCATGATAGTAATAAATGTTTACATGAATATGATATTTCATTCATTGATGAGTTACCTACTGAATCTGCACTCAGAATTGAAAATTCCTTGCATAGAAAAGACATTGATCTGCTTTAGGCATACTAGTGCTAGTCTTGAGTGTTTCACATTCTTGCCACATGATAATAACCATGATCAAGGGTCTTTCTATTCTATACTTTCATGTGACCTCACACCAGACATTAAGAGATTGTGTGGTATTGAATATGATCTCTTTAAATTTGCTTTTGGTCTAAATGACTCTGTCTCTAATCTAAGTTGGAGTCCTAGGCACATTAAAGATTCTTGGAGTCCTAGGCACATTAAAGATTCTATGCATGAGACCCTCTCATGTAACTTACCAAGAGATATGCTTAAACATAAGCCACTTCATTTGGTTTATATGATTTCTCTTGATTGTATTAATGCTGTTTCTGGTCTTTTCTGGCAGAAACTTGATGGCATTGGATTCCAAGGGAGCCAACAGCAACCATATATCTTAGGACGGCCTCCAATTGATCCTGAACCACCACCAAAGAAGGATGGTGAGAAAGACCAAGCCACATTGCTGAAATTCATGATTCTCATCCAGGATGAGAATTTCTGCTTCAAGAGCCTAAAGAGGTTTCGATTCTGCAGTTGTCCCTTTCCGTCCCTTAATTTCTTGATTTACTTGAAATATATCATATATGGGATTGACTGTTTAACATAAGTGTGGGGGAGGGGACTGATCTAGTAGTACAAGTTTGGTGATATGGTTTAGGCTTGGCTCATTTCTCTTGCTCCTATTTGCTGTGCAAATTTGGTTTTCCCTAGTCTGTCATTTCTTTTACATTGAGGACAATGTTTGTCTCACATGTGGGGAGAGTGTGAAATATTCTGATTGTTTTCATTGCTGTCATGGAATTTAATTGAACCTTGAACGCATTCTTTTGAATACTGTTAAAGCTTGTTCAGGTTTGAATTGCTTGTTTAATCAATTAATTCTGGAAAATGTGCATCATGAAGTAATTTTCTCGTGCATTAAGTTCAATCTACATGCAATTTATCTTTGGTAAGTGGATGAAGATGAGTAAACCAGTTGGAAGGAAATTTTGGGCCTTAATTTATTCCTAAATTGTGTGTGATGCCATGTAGTTTGGTAACTTCCTAGAACTTGTCTCAATCCTTAATTCAAGACCACATGAGCTCTTGGAATTGTGAAGATGACAAGGGCATTTCATTCAAAACCCTTTTTGACCCAAATAGCAACCTATACACATTAAATCCATTGCTTAAACCCTTTGACCCCTTCACTATTCTTTCAATTTCATCCATGATTGATGAACCCTACACATAACTGAGTGAAGGATTTACGAACAGGATGAGCTAAATTGAATCTAAGTTTGTTGTTTTCCTTTTAATGGTCGTATATTTGTTGATAACGATCTGTGCATGACTGGGACTGATTATAATCCCTTTTACTCTTGCTACTAGATTGCTACCATATAGGGGGGAAATGTATTTGGAAAAAAAGAGAACAGAACCAGAAAAAGGAAAAAAAAGAAAAAGAAAAAGAAAGGAAGAAAGGATCCTGAAATGAAAAAAAGCAGGGAAGAAATAAGATAGAAAAAAATGAAGGAAGAAAAAGCAGAATTGAAAAAATGTTGATCGAGTGGCAAGAGTGAAGGAGTCCATTCATGTTAATTCTTATATTCATTTAGCTGTATTGAATAACAAAATCTGATTTGTGCATAAGCTTCTGAGCCTTTGACAGAACTATGATGCATGTGAGGTGTTCTATTGATCATTAGCATTCACTTCCATTCCATCATTTGGCTTTTCCAACATTACAACCCTTACAAAGACCCTTTGATTCACAAGACCTTGTAGCATATAAGTGGTGGAGATGTAGAATGGTTACAAGCCTATGGTGAAGCCTAAACTAGATGGTCTTGAGAGAAATAACCTTCATCAATGAGAGTGAGAGAAACACTTAACCTTGTGAGGAATCTCATCTTCTATTTGCTTTCCTTGGTTGAATTGCATGATTACGATTGATCTTTTAGCATGGGACTGTTTTGGATTGATGGCATTTGAAGGAATGATTGATAAACACAAGTACTTCATTTTTGAACATGATTTAGCATTCTTCATTAGCAATGTGTTTGAGATTCAATCTTATTTCATTGTTTTGCCTGGAGTGCAAAAAGCTAGTATGGGGGAATTAGATAAACTCCTATTTTACTATAGATTTTGATATTGTCTTTGGGGGTTTTATCATTATTATTGTGCATTAATTGAATATTTTGAGTGGAATTAGAAAGGAAAATAATTTCTGGAATTTGTGGATAAATTACTTTAATATGCTTATATTTTCCAGAATTTCATTATTAAAATTGTTAATGCTTTCCATTTAAAATTCCATTTTTAGGTTAAGGACTAAAGAAGAATAAAGGAAGCATTGGAGGGTGATTTGGGCAGTATATGACCAAAGAGCAAAAACGCACCGTTTGGAGCTTCAGGAGAGGGGACCTCCATTTCACACCGTCACTCAACATCCGAATTGGGGGATTTCTTCGATCACCATTCCAAACCCACACCACCAAATCCATTCATCTCATATCCATCCCTCTCATTCGCTCCATCTTCGTCTTGCTCTCTCCATCACTCTCACAATCTCCATCTCTCCATCACCACCGTCTCACTCTCTCCTTCAGCCTCACCATGGCCGATCATTCCGTGGACCTCAGTTAAGCTGCCCCAGTAATGAGAAGCTAGTCGTCCTTAGTTCTCCTGGAAGTTGGATCCAAGCCTGAGCCCTTACACTGCAGAAGGAGTTCTATATGATTCTTCTGTTCTGATTTGATTCTGTATTGTGTAGTGTGTGAGTTATACATTCATTTTATGGTTTCAAATCTGATATTGCTATGCTTGTCGTGGAACTTTTGAATCTGAATTAGAGTCTTGTGTTTAGTGATTCTGTATGCATGAACTCTGTTGAAGGATTGTATCCTCTATATTACAGTAGAATTGATTTTAATTCTTGGAATTGATTTGAGTCAGGTTTTGAAATTGATTTGAGAAATTGATTTGAATTATTTCTGAGGTGATATGTGGTGGCTGTCACTGAGGAGGATTCAGTTTTGCTAACACTAATTCTGTTGCCAAACAAGTAACTTGCTAATACGGTTTTATATGCTGTTCGAGTTGAATAGTTATAAGTTCTTGTTAGTTGGTGGACTAATCAGTGAATCAACTCAAATGATGACTTTGGTTGATTGAACTCTATATTCTTAATCAGGTTGGGAAGGCAAGGTGAACTTTCAGGGGAACATTCATTCATAACTGATACATTCTATTTCATCCAAAACCATTCATTTTGTAAATCTTAGAAACATAAAGGAATAAACATTTCATCCAGATTGGCATAGGGAAATCACAGAATCTAGTTTTGGTATTAATTTGTTAATTTGATAAAAGTGGATTAGCTAAGGAATTATAACATAAAAAGGCTCCTTAGTGAATCGACTTAAGTTAGGCTAATATATTATATTTTAGTTTGATTTAGTTTTTATTTGAAGAGCCCCTATCATACGGTTTTTCACCATGTAAGCCCTTAGTCAACCTCACCTAATGACATTTATAACAGAAGGAGCAAGATTGATAACTAGGATAGGAATGGAAAAAAAATATAGGTCCAAGTGGAGCTATTAGGACCCTTAAATTAATTTTCCCTTTGTGAAATAAGAAATATATACAAGGGATTGAATTTCGAAGGAGTTAAAAGTCCAGGGATCATATTGAGTCATTATATATAAGGGATTGAATTTCGAAGGAGTTAAAAGTTTGGGAAAATATATACAAGGGATTGAACTTCGAAGGAGTTAAAAGTTCAAGAATCATATTGAGTCATTACTAAGGGATTAAGTCATAATTGATTTAAAATTTAAATAACTAAAAAAATTAATTGCAAGGCTGCGTTTGGTTTTTTATTTTAAAAACAAAAGATTTTAAAAACTAAAACACTACAACAATTTTTAGATGTTTTTTTATTTTAATTGAATTTCGAAGGAGTTAAAAGTTTAAGGATCATATTGAGTCATTACTAAGGGATTAAGTCATAATTGAGTTAAAATTTAAATAACTAAAAAAATTAATTGCAAGGCTGCGTTTGGTTTTTTATTTTAAAAACAAAAGATTTTAAAAACTAAAACACTACAACAATTTTTAGATGTTTTCTTGTTTTCATTTCTTTATTTTGTATTTTTTTTATTTTGAAACACAAAAACTTATTTTAAAATTATAAAAACAAACCAAACTAATTTTTGGATTTTACTCTATTTGGCACAAGAAGAGGGGTTGATCCTCTTGGCTTGATTCTGATTTCTTTATTTTTTTAAGAATACCGAGCCAGGTTCTCCCGTATCGAATTTTTCATATAATTCCAGGTTTAGACACAAATTGGTAGCAGATTTGATCCCTTCGCATTTCTGAAACTTGACAAAGTAAGACACAAATTGGTAGCAGATTAACTTGACAAAGGAAAATGCATACGAGGACGATACAAACACTAGACAACAACACTAGATAACAACACCAGATGCCATCCAATTACAAAGTATTCAATTAGCGAAAAGAAAAAAAAAAAAGACTCAATTCCTATTTCCTATTAAGACCGACAGGTTTTGGTTCCCAAAAGAAGCCTCAACGGGCAAGTCATTGTCTTGGATCCCAATAGACTCTCTTTCTTCCATGTTAAAGTTACGCGTTGAATTTGCAGGATTTGCAGGGATTTCTTGAAACATGCTACGAAGGCATTCTTGAAACAAGTTGATTGTTGGCCCAATTGCCAAGAAAGCCCATAGGATGGACGCAGCCAAACCCAGGAAGAGCGACAAGACAAAAAGAAGTAGAACCACGACAAGAAGTCCAAACAGAGGAGTGAATTGTTTCATGATCGCAAGGTACTTGGATTGATTTTGAAGTTTTAATTCCGCCAGCAAACCCATACCATACAATAATAGCATCCCAAAAACAGCTCTCATGATGCTTCCATGCTCATCAAAGAGGGACGATTTCTTTGATTGAAATTGAAACTGCACGTACCCACCTACCGTGGTAATCAGAGAAATAATGACAGCATGTAACAGAGCAAAAGCTTCCCCTTGTCCCTGGTTTGAACTGCAGCCGCAAAAAGCAATAAACTGAATTAGCATTGTAAAGTAGTGGAAGAAACTAAGCAAGTAGGAGAAACCAGAAATGATTTCCATAAATGAAATTAGTCTAGTCGAAATGGCACAAGGAAGAAGATAATAATGGGTAGTGGAAGAAACTAAGCAAGCAGGAGAAACCAGAAATGATTTCCATAAATGAAATTAGTCTAGTCGAAATGGCACAAGGAAGAAGATAATAATGGGTAGTGGAAGAAACTAAGCAAGCAGGAGAAACCAGAAATGATTTCCAGAAATGATCTAGTCGAAATGGCACAAGGAAGAAGATAATAATGGGAAAACTAGATATGAAGTTAATGAGGTGTGGTAAAACCTTTGTGGGGAGCTAAAAGTCGAAGATGGAGTTAGGGGCATGTTGGGCGCCGTCCCTCCAATTTGTTCGTGGTCGGCCATAGGAGAGTACAGAGAAGGGTACCAAAAAGGGATGAAGATGGTGGGACGAGAGTCGAGGGGCAAAAGCTATTTATCGCTTTTGGATTCAATCCTAAGACGAGAGATTTATATAGGAGAGTGGCCGAGTGCTTAGACCGTGGGATCTAAATGGATCTGATGACGTGTCACTTGACTGTGGGATCTAAAAGGCAGCGCCGTTTTTTAATCTGAGAGATACGGCTCCCCTGTGAGAAGAGAGAAACCCTTTCTAACACTATTGTTTCATTCTAACACTTTAATAAAGTGTTTCATCATTCCATTCTAACACTTTAATAGATTATCTCGTATGCAGAAACACTCTTGTTTCATTCTAACACTTTAATAGATTATCTCGTATTCAGAAATACCCTTTCTAACACTATTGTTTCATTCTAACACTTTAATAAAGTGTTTCATTCCATTCTAACACTTTAATGAAGTGTTTCATTCTAACACTATTCTAATAAAGTAATGACGAATGAACAGGCGGACGCGTGTCTTGAGGAATTTCACTGACCGTGGGATCTCACAATAATTTCTTCACATCAGTGTTATGCTAATTAAGCATTTAAGTTACTTCAAAGTACCCAAAAAAAAAGATTTAAAAAAAGCTAAAATAATAATAATAAGTTACTGTCCTCATAATTTCTTTCCTTGCATCTATATATATATATATATATATATATATAATCTGTAATAGATTGATTTTGATTTATTTATATTCACATGGCCTATGGCAAAATTAATTCATAGTTAATTCCCTTACAAAATACTCCTCCGATCCTTAATATAAAACTTAGTTAACTCATTTAATCAGATTAAGGAAGTTAGATAAGTTAGTTGATTATAAGAAATATGACATGTTTTTCCTAAAGCACTATAATCATTTTTTTTAATATCCTCTCTCTCTTTTTACTTGATTATAATTGAGGGAGTATCCATAGAGGCAATTTAGGAAAAATTAATAAATGTGAAAAATATGTTTTATATTTATGATCAAAATCAATTTAATAATTAGGTCCTATATTAAGGACCAGAGGAGTAATAGATTGAGAAAGATCAATATCTATAATTATTAATTAAGATAAGGGTAAAGTAGTATTCAACACCCTAATGTCATTCCTTAGCAGCATTCAGCACCTTAATCTTATTTATGGTCTTAATTCTTGATAGAATGTGGGGGTGCGCTCTTATCCCACAACCATGAGATCTCTTCTCTATCATTGTTTCAAGAGTATTTGCATATCTAGGTTTAAAGTCATTCTTAGTCGTGAATCTGCTCAATTCAAAGCTAAACAAAACAATCAACCAGTAGTTGTCATCATCAGGAGTCTCGATGTGAAACTTTATCTTACTTGATCCCTCCATTCTATAACTCACAATGAAGAAATTTTTTAATTGTATGTCACATTCACTCTTTACTTACCATATATACATTATACATATCATTTACTAATTGATTTCCAATTTTCATGAATGACAAGTTTCCATGGTTGCCTTAGGGTTGTTTTCCAATGTTGGGTTGAGTGCCTCAAAGGATTCAGTTTGTGGATCCAGGGGTTGGCTATAGTCTCTCTTAAAAATAAATCATAAACTAAGCAATATGACACAATATATCTATTTTGAAATTTCACAATATACACTATTACAACAGAGACTTTTTACTTTTATTTTGGAGGATTTTTTACCTCTGTTTTTAAGAGAACATAAAAAGTATCTCCTATTTCATCTTTGCTTTGAACAGACATAACTGGGACTTTTCACATCTGTTCCAAAAACAGACATGAAAAATCCTTTTTTCACTTCTGTTTTGCCAAAAACAGACATGAAAAATCATACTTTTTACTTTTGTTTTGCCAAAAACAAACATAAAAAATAGTTTTTTGTTAAAAGGATGTTATTACAATCCAAAAAGACAAAGCCCTCTACTTATTTTTTTTAATTAGAAACAATTACATTTCATTCATAAAAGAAAAGCACATCCGATAATCAATAAACAAAATCATCCAATGTCATTACAATATAAACAAAAACAACTAATAAAATAATATGATACTCTTGTTTAATACTAAACAATCCATGGTAACAATAAAACATCAATAGTAAACGTGATCTCCATTCTCTTCTACTCTAAATGCAAGTACAGGAATCCTGGACTGCACTCAAAAAGTCTTCCATCGCTACCTTTATATTCTCTTCCTCAACTTGCTTGGTGAGATCATCTGGACTTAGTTGTCTATTTAAAGCAAATGAGACTGCACTTTTCACCGCACCTTCAAGTTCTACACCAGTAGCTACACAAGGTAATAACAAGCAAATTCACATGGCATTCATTGACAGATTCATCAAGTCAATTCATATTACTTGATTATTTCTTGTCTAGGCGAAATGATTTATGCATTCTAACATCA